GAAAGCTCGGGGATCAAATTTCGTGTCCCTTGAGCCTAGATGCTCTGCCCACATGCTAAGAAACCACATCGAGTGCTTAGATTGTCATGGTGATATCCATTTCCGGTCATTTTAATTGTTCATTACACCTGTATATCTACTCATACTTCGGCAGTCAACGAGCAGCTTAGATGCCAGCCTATGTGCGTCTTCCATCAAACGATGTCGTTCAGTGAGGTTCTGCTGCAAGGAGCTTTTTCATTGTAGGGTTACGAAGAAACCCGAATGTTTCTCGTGGTAATTTTTGGTTTTTCGCCGCGTGACTGAGTCTTTACCTAGGTCACAGATGCCACAGATCGTGGGAATCTAAAGGGACAAATGACAAATATATTTGGGGTCTTTCTCGTCTTTCGTCACTGGGATACATCTAAACCCAATTCAAGTTTCTAGCCTATCATTCAGTATCTCCTTATGTCCTCCAAATTGGCAATGTCGTATGGCGACAATTCATACCTTGGGTGGTCAATTCCCCAGAATGGGGCGGACGTCTAGTGATCCAAGAAGTACTTTAAGTGATTCGTTCCATATAAACCTCCTACTGCAGTCAAATATGATCATTTATGTGATGAAAACTACTCGTCCCCAAAGCCTCAGGCGCACTGAGCCACCCGGTCAGCTGCAGGGCGACCAGATCTCCTGACTAAATATCCCACCACCTCGATCGGTTGTAAGTGGAATACACATCCCGAGAGTATTCACTCCCTCACCGACGCATCCGCTTCCTGCCACCCGATTCGGGAAACACGCTAGTCCGCCCGTCTGCCTTTCTCAATTTCCACCCATCTCGACTTCAAGATCCCCTTCTTCTTTTTTCCTTCTCTCTCTCTCACCCACCCACACCACAACAACGCGAATCGCGCAGCAACTTTCGTTCGCCCGCAGGCAAATCCAAGGTACGTCGGCTTCTTCATCACGAAGATTTATTTTGTCTTCTTCTTCTTCTTCTTCTTCTTCTTCTCTTCTTTTTACTGTAATCATCATCTCTGACGCGATATAGCACGCTTCGCAGCACCTCTCGTTCGTCCGATCGACACTCTTTCGACCATCCCATACTTCAGCGTAAGTCGAGATCGCCAGCACCACGATCGTCATCTCTACCGTCTACGAGACGATTGAGAAATACCTCCTGTCTCGTTTTCTGCCTCCAATTGCTCTTATTCTTTCCTTGCTCATTGGTCAAGTTGAAAGAGGGGGTTGAGCGATCCTATTTTCCTCAATCTTGCGGTCTTGCGATCTCGAGGGGCACCCCGGGCACAAAAACACTCATCTTCATTTTCCTCTCCTTCGATTTTCTGGCAGATCGATTTTTCAGGAAATTCACACTACCCCTCGCTCCTTCCTCTGGCCAGTATTCTTCACCCTCGGTGAAAATTTCTGTTCCCCCATTCGCCTTTGTTGACGCGCTGGTTTTCCCACCCTCCTATTCTCGCGTTCCTTCTCTCACTGAGCCACTCACTCCCACTTCCACTTCTTCACCCCTTCAACCTCTCTTTTCCACCCACTTCATTCACTTGTCTTCATCACCAACTGACGGCAAATATTCTTTTGCAGACAACACTCACTTATCATCATCTCCTTTCTTCAAAGAAGAGTAAGTTCCATCTTATTTTCATTCCTTTCATTCGTCTTCATGCTGGTTCTGCTCTTTGCGCTTGGCTATATCCAAAATTTTGGTTTTGCCGTCCTCAAATTTCAGACTTTGCTCATTTGATTGTCGCTTTCTTTTCCCATTCCAGAGTCTAACAAAGTCACAGATACAGTCATTGTTCAAGAACAAGCTCAACGGACACTCGCTAGCCATCATGATGCGTAAGTTTCTCTTCCTTTGAATTTGGAGATGTCAAAAGAAAATCCATCTTACTGACAAAATACAGCCAAGCGCCCCAATAATGATTATCGCGATCACTGCGGTTACTACCGTGAGGATGACGACCTCACCGTGACTGAGGGCGCCATCCAGCGCGAGCAGAAGGACTGGAGCACCTACCGCAAGACTGATCCCTTCATTCTCATCACTCTTGCCGTGGCCCTCGCTACTCTCATGGGCGGTGGTATCGCCATCGGCATTCACTGTAAGCATTCCATCTTGCACATCTTCTCATTTTCTTTTGACAATCAGCTAATAATGGGTATCATCAGTTGCCACTCGTGGCTCCCCCAACTCTCAGGTCCCGACCTCTGACTCCCATGTCGTCCCTCGTTTCGCCGGCATGAACTACAACGTCCTCGGCTTCAATGGCACTCAGACCCACGGCATCAACTCCACCCTCTCTGGCTTGGGTACCACTGGCACTCCCACTCTCTGCGAGGATGACGCCGATGAGACCATCACCGTTACCCAGTTCCTTGGAAACAACAAGACCGCCTCTGTTGACACCACGATCACGACCCACGTCCAGAAGACTCTCACCCAGACCCTCCACAAGTCTCCTATGGGTACCACTGTCTCGTCTGCCGACCCTATCAACACCACCCTTCCCGGCTCTTCTGTTGTCACCCAGTGAGTTCTTCTTCCTTTCTTTCTAATTCCAAAGTCCAAAATGCTCATTCTCTTTTCAGGTCCATTCCAGTCGTCACCAAGGTTCTTACCACCTCTGTCACTGAGACTGCGTACCACACGGCCACTGCCCACCAGAGCAGCGTCGCGTCCGAGTCCTCCGAGTCCTCCGAGTCTGTCATCGCGTCCACATCTTCTGTTGAAGACGCGCCTCCCATTCTCGTGACCACCGTCGGTCCGCTCCCATCTGAGAGCTCTCACCCTGACGTCACCTCGGTCTTCCTGACCAAGACCCTGACCCAGACGCGCAAGACCACGATCCAGGGCGGTCCCTTGGTCTCTACTGAAGAGTTCTCCTCAACCACCACGGTCACTCCCACGACGATCATCAAGTCTACCATCTACGTCACCGCAGCCCCCCTGAGCTCTACTTCTCAGGCCCAGTGCTCCCACGAGATGGAAGACCACACCGTCTTCGTCACCGTCACCGAGACTTTCATTCCCGGCGCTACCAGCTCTTCTTCGAGCGTTCAGTCCAAGACCTCCAAGGCCTCCTCCTCCAAGATGTCTTCTTCTACTGCCTCGGTTTCCCCTTCCACGGCTACCGACACCATCTTGGTCACCTACACCGTCACGATTGACAGCCTGTACCCCGCTACCACGAGCCCCATCATGAGCAGCTCTTTCTCCAGCGAGAAGACCTCCTCCACGCTCACCCCCGCCTCCAAGTCGACCATTGTCGTCACCCAAGTGGCCACCCAGACCGTCATCGTCTCCATTGGACACGGAACAACTGTCTCTTCCCAGCTCGGCCACGCTGGCACTCCAATCTTTACCTCTCTTCCCTCTTCCGGAAGCGCCCAGGCCTCTACCGCTACAGACGTCGTCGTCTTGACAAAGACAATTACCTCCAACGTGTTCAAGACCATCAGTGCATCCTCCAGCGCCTCGTCGTCTACTTCGCACTCGGCCGAGGTCCAGACAGATACCCAGACCTCCATCGTCACCGTCGCTGCTTCCCCTTCCAGCAGCGCCTCTCACTCCTCCAAGTCATTCTCTTCCCAGTCTGTCGAGTCCATTCTCACCACGATCTACCTCACCGATCGCGCCACTCAGACTGTCACGATTGGAGGCATGGCCACAGTGACTGTCCGCCCCGAGCACTCGTCTAGCACCTCCTCCCCGTTCTCTGGTCCCTCCAACTCCACCAGAACCGAGACCAAGATCATCACCGCCTCCGCGTCCAGAGTCGTCCGCACCTACACCACGACGGTCAGCGGCCAGGTCTTCACCTCGCTCATCACCGTCTGGAAGAACGTCACCGCGACCGCCACCGCCACCCTCAGCGGCAGCGGCAGTGCCTCCTCGTCTCTGACTTCCATCTCCCACGTGGTCCAGAACACGACCGTCACCGCGACCGCCACGTCCGTGGTTGAGGTCCCCGTCACGCTGAACACCACCATCACCATCACGGGTACTCCGATGATGCACCCTACCGCTCCCAGCACCCTTCCCCCCTTCGTCAACGGCACCGCCATGACTTCGTCTACCCGCAATGTCCCCACAACCTACCACTACCCCACTCTGTCCTCTTCGACTGCCACTGAGCAGCCCAAGAGTACGAGCACTGTGGTCGTCGTCTCCGGCGCCGCGGACAACAAGCATGCCGAGGGTATCGTGGGCGGCTGCAAGGGCTGCACCACCTGGCTTGCCATCTTCGTGCTGGGCCTGATGGTTCTGTTCTAAGAAGCAAACTCTTACTTCTTCATTCTTTTGTGTGTTTTTCATTCTTTGGTTTTCCTCTTTGTGCACTTTCTGTTCTCCTTTCAGACTTTTTGATTGGAGAACGGGCAAAGATGGAACAACTCCCCTGTTTTCTGATGCTTTTCTTTTTTACTTCTCAAGGATGGATGATACCCCTTTTCATCACGAACGGATAACGAAACGAACGATAACGAACTCGATTCTCATGCGGATCATGGATTTGGTACTTTCGGCAAGGGGAGGAAACTGCACAGAGTCTTTCTTTTTCTTTTTCTTCATTTCAATGTTTGGAACCCGCTAGGCTAGGACGAACTTTCTGGGGTAAAAGGAATAGTTTGGAGAGTTTGGAGAGGGATCCGAAGTTGGGAGGGAGGCAGGAAGAGGGTTTGGCTTGCATGGACCAGTGCCTAAATAATACCAGGACGAACGCATTATTCTACACTTGATGACTTGACCTCTGTGAACGTTCTGTGATGTGATGTTATATGAATGGCGACTTGATGCTTAATATCGGCCAAGTCATGTCAGGCTTCTCGCAGCAAGTTTTCCATCGCCCCTGACTTGTAACCCAGTGTAAAGAACACACCACCGCAGGATACCAGTAGTGAAATCGCATTCATTCATTCTCATAATCTATCAATCTAAAACCCTCCCCATCATCCATCCCACCAACTCACACCATACCCAAGATGGACAATGCTTAGTTATGAGCAACCTTCAAAATCATCTTCTCCATCTCCTCAAAAGCCCCAACAACAGGCTGATACCCCTCAAACACACCCTCTTTATACCCTCCATCAACCTTTTGAATCGCCCCCTCCTCCTTCCACCGCTTCCCAATCAACTCGTCAAACGTCTCCCCCTCGCCCCTCTCAAGCGCCCAAACAGCCTTATACGCACCGCCCAGAGCGCACGCGTTCCCGCCCACGTCAAGCTTATACACGCCCTCCGCCCCGCCCAACACGTCGCCCATGACCCGCGCGATGGCCGGGTTCAGAGACCCGCCGCCGACGAGGTAGATCCGTCGCGGCTGCGCGGGGACCTTGGAGTCGGACTCGGGGCTGTGGACGAGGTTCTGGCTGCGCAGACGCATCGAGAGGGCCTGCGACTCGACAATGATGCGCGCGTCCGTCTCCTTGGACCACGGCTCCGAGGCCTCCGTCAAGGCGCTTCCGTCCTGCTTGGCGGTGTACCGCCACGTGCCGGCCTTGATATTCGGCACGATCTCGGGGAGGTCAAAGTACAACCCCAGCTTCGCGTCATCTTTCTCAGACCGCACATCCAGCGGCGGCGTATCGAGCACGGCCTTGTTGAAGTTGGCCCAGGGGTCACCGCCCTCAGGCTTCGGCAACGCATCTCGCACGCTCTCGCGCGCCAGCCCGCCGTTCTTGTAGCAGAGCATAAACATGTACTGCCCGGGAGTGCACGGGTGATTGAAAAAATGGTACGCCGCGTCGGGCTTATACACGGGCGTGACCATCAAGAACGTAGACGACGTGCCCAGCGAGACAATGGCATCCATCGGTCTTAGCGGCAGCGCAAGAATCGTGGCCGGGTTATCGCCCGTGAAAGGCGCGACCTGGCACTCCGCGCTGAAGCCGTAGCGCCGGACAAAGTACCCCGAGATGGCGCCCATGGACCCGCCGCCGTCGTGGCGCGGCTCGCCGAGCTTGGCGCGGAGGTCGCTCACGCCGGACTTTGAGCCGGCGGTGAGTTCCAGCAGGGGCTCGCTCCAGTTCCCCGCGGAAATGTCCCAGAGGTTCATGCCGCAGACGTCGCTGATGTCGATGGGGGCGACGGACCCGAGGAGGACGGAGGCGAGGAAGGAGGAGACGAGGGAGATGCGGGATGTAGCGGCGTACATTTCGGGGCGTTTCTGGCGGAGACGCATGATTTGCGTGCCGGTGAAGCGCTACCATGATTTTTTTTTCGTCTCAGCATAAATCACTCACACGATTGTTTACCTAGTTGAAGTGAAAACGAGGGGAGGGGGGCAAACATACGTGGTGTGCAGCGCTGCCAGTAACCTCCGCCAACCGCTGCGCCGTCTCAAAATTGGCATCAAACTCGTCGCACTGCGCCTGCGTGCTGTGATCCTGCCAATTCGGCGCGTAGGGGAACGAAAACGCCTCCTTCAACTGCTCGACGAGCGGCTTATCGGACTGCGGCAAGCCGCCCAGCAACGTCTCGGCCTCTTGGGCCCAGTAGGTGCTGCCGTGCTGCTGGCACGAGCCGCTGATGCCCTTGATGCGGTCCATGGGCGTCTTTGCCGAGAGGCGGCTCAAGACGAGGTCGATGGCCTCGAGGAACATGGCGACGGGCGCGTAGACCTCGCCCTCGGCCTCGTTGGTCAGAACGCCCTTGCGCAGGCCATACTGCTTGCCAAAGTCGGCGTCAAAGTCGACCTTGGCCTCGGAGACGACGGTCAGGTCGGACTGTACGACAATTGCTGTGTGACGGTGTTAAGAATTGAGGGAGGCTCGGATGTAAATGAGATTTTGGTAAGAGTGGCTAACCTTTGAGCTGTTGGGTCGATAGGTCGAACCCGAGATACAAGGGACCGGAACTCATGATGGGAGGAGGAAAGTGAGATGAGAGATATTGCACAACACTCGCGGGAGGGGGGTGCAAGTCAATTAAGTATCGGCTTCTATCTCAAATTTGTCCAAACAAGCAAGAATTGGTTCAATCGTCATATGAAAAAGAGAAAAAAACGAAACACACAGAATATCCGGTTGTCTAGGACCAAAAGTTGACCGCTGCCCACTACTTTGTACATCACGTTGACGTGGGGTGGGTGGGCATGGAGGGGCACACTTGTCACTTTGGGGCACTTGGAACAGGTTGCATGGTTCCCTCAGCCTTGTGGCAATTCAGGCTAAAAGCGGGCGGACCAATCGTACAATTCGAGACAGATGCGACGAATAGGCGCGCCAATAATCGTGTGACGTCTTGGCGGAAGCCAATGCAGCCTTGTCCCCTCGACTCGGGGGTCGGGAATAGCTCGTCCCGTGCTCTATGCGCCCTGCCGCCCTGCATACTGCCGCGTCTAAGGGTCCCGCTGCGTAGAACGCACTTGCGAGATTGGTCAGGATAGACGGGCACTTTTAACGACGAGCAATCCCATAGAACACCTTGATACGATAATAGACGTGGTTCAAGAAAAAGCAAATCTGTTGTTATTCAGCAGGCGAGAGATATATAAAACAAGTCTCTCGGTACGACCGGCCTGTGGCTGGCCTTTTGTGATCCCTCCCTAAACGCCGCCCTGATGCAAATGGATGCCTTGGAGGACTCTCTCCAAGAATGTTCTCTATACGTAGCAGCACGCCCCCTGTAGACCGGCACAAAAAAAAAAGACAAAAGACGGTGGCTTTGCCACGCATCCAGAAATGGTAAGGAAAACCAAGGGTATCTCGTCGTGAATGGCAAGCTCCTCCTCCAACTGTACATAGGACTCGGCTGCCTTAGTCGTGCTTGTGGCCATTGCCATTGGTGTGGCTGTGGTCGTCGGCCTCCTCGCTAGCCTCTCGGTTGGCTTCTCCAGGGATGAACTCGTCGAACGGGCGCGCAACCTCGGCCTCCTTCGGGACGAAGCGCACCTTGATCCTCCGCACACCGCGGACCTTGGCACCGACCAGAGTACGGACCTGATCCTCCACTTCTCGGACGGCCTCAACAGACCAAGCTCCGGGGACAGCCAAGTCGATATCCACCAGGTAGTTCTGACCGGACTTGACACCCGAGACGTTGCGAACATCAACTTCGTGGCCATCGGTGACATCAGAGAGGCTTCGGAGGGCGTATTTTTGGACATCTCCCTTGACCTCGTCATCAATAGCGCGGTCGGCCAATTCGTACACGGAAGACAGAGTGTTCTCGGCACCAGCCTTGATGACGAGGAGAGAAATCATCAGGCCACCAACGGGATCCAGCCAGGTCGCATCCTTGAAAAAGTTTGCACCCAGGATAGCAAGCAGTGTGACAATGCCGGTCCAGCTGTCGACACGGTGGTGAACGGCATTGGAGGCGAGGACGGAAGACTTTCGTTCGACGGCGACTTTCATGGCTGTTTTTTTTTCTCCCTGTTAGCTTTGTTTCTTGTAGCCACTCGTGCCTGAAAGAATTAGGGGGGAACTGTGCTTACTAGCTCTGTACAGCCATTCCTTGATTGCGATCGTTCCCAGAGCCAACCAAGCAGCGTGCAAACTCGGTGTAGCATGACCATGACCATGGCTGTGACCGTGATGAGCGTGGGCAATGGCCTCTGCTGCAGCAGCAGGGTCGAGGAAGAGGTGAGCGTGGAGGGTGATCAAGCTGCTCCAGCACATGAACAGGCCGCCGCCCAGAAGCATGCTGGAGACACCCAGAGATCCCAGACTTTCAATCTTGCCGAAACCAGTGGGGAAGGCTTCGGTCGGGGGTTTCAAGCTCCACGAAACAGTGGCCAGCGTCAGGACGTCAGATGCCAGGTCCGTCAGACTGTGCCAGGCATCAGCAATCATGGCTTGAGAGCCGAATGCGTAGCCACCGGCGCCCTTTGCAAAGGCCATGCCGAGGTTGGAGTAGAGACCGATGCGAGTGATGCGCACGCCGGCGTCGTTCTTGTTGGCCGAGGTCAGGTAGACATTGTCGTGGCCGTGGTGGTGATGGTGGTGATGGCCGTGGCTCTTGCGAGACTGAGGCGGGTTGGCGGTCATGGTGGCAGTGGTGGTGGCAGACATGATGACAGTTGCTGGTAATGAAGGAGATGAGTTCTTCGCAGCCGTCAAGGTATTGTTGAGGTGAGGAAGGGAAGAAGTAGAAGAGGCAAGGTGGAGGCGGGCGGCGCTGGGGGTTAAGTAGGGATCGCAGGGAGAGGCGGCCGGGCTGGATGTTTGATAGACGCGGAGGGAGACGCGGCGCAGAGCTGGATGTGGTTGAGGTGGCCTAAAGGGGTAGGCAGAATTGAGGCAGCGGAGGAGGGTGTGCGTTCCCGTTCCCGTTCTTGGAGACGTCACCCACGCACTCCCACTCACAGCGGAAAGGCGGCGGAGCAGTGCCGTGGGACGCTTGGACGGGGTCGACATGCCTGGGGCCGGGTTGAGGGAGTAAGGTAAGATCCAATGCCAATATGTCCTCGGCTGTGTTTGTGTGTATGCGTGCGTGTGCGTATGTGTACGGATAGTGTGTACTCCGTAGGCGTAGTTAGGTGTCTCGCGCGCCTTCTCTTTCGCTATGGTCTCTTACTCTCTAAGCAGCAGGGTCAAGGTAAATTGTAGCGGAAGGGGTGAGGGGACGAATAACGGGTTGGCTAATTGCAAGCAGGCCAGGGACGCGTACATGACAAGCCCAGCCCGAAAAGCCGTGACACACCAAACTGAACCAGAATCGTACCGTGCGGTAGGTAAGGTACGAATAGGTAGATCGGCAGACGGAAGGTGGACGGAGGAGAGGAGGGGTGGTTGTGTGGTCCAGGTGGAAAGGGCCCCAAGGGAGGGATGGGAGGAAGGGAAAGGGTTACGGGAACGAATTGGGGGCTGGCTTGGGGTGCAGCAGGCGTAAGAAACGGGGGGGGGGGGGGTGAGAGTTAATTCGAATTGGAGACTGGCTGGATTGTACGTAGTCTGTACCCAAAACGCAATGGAAAGCAAAGCAAGCACAAAGTGCCAAAAAGGTGCGCGCGCGCGTGTGTTGTGAGTGTGTGCGTGTGTATGTACGGAGTATTGTGCGAGACTGTGTCAAGTGTGTGTCTCCAGCAAAAAGAAAAGAAAGGCAACGCGGCAATTCGGTGCAAGGAAGACAAAGCTTTCCCAACTGACAAGGCGAGGGTTCCGGCAGCGGCGGTAGCGGTAGCGTAGCGGCAGGGCGGGTTGGTTGATCTGATCTGCTGCAACTTGCGGCTAAGACCTTCAAAGCAGGTAGGTAGCATACGCAGTACACTACAGAGTGCGAGTACGGATACTTACTCAGACACAACTACCTGCAAGATGTCAAGTATTCTCACTGCAATTCTTGCAGAGGTAGTACTCTATGCAGTTGCTGCGGCTCAGTTGGTTTGCTGATGTAAAGGGTACCCCTACAACTTGCCTGTCTATCCCCCACCGAGCAACCGACCCGAGCTAAAAGGCGGTGCCTGACGAGCATGGGATGGGATGGGCAACGGGATGGATAGGATGGGATGGCGGGCATGTCATGGGAGAGACTGAGCAGTGAAGTGGGATGGAAAATCACCACCAATGATGAAACCCCACAAGGCGAGAGTAGAGTGAATTGGCTCCATCTGATTGACGGATGCAACTTGAACGCCAAGAAAAGGAAACCCATGATACCCATCCATGAACTCAATGGGCTCCGAAGCTACGTACCCCCAGTCCTCTCGTGGGCTGGCAGCAAATTTCTTCGAAACTGACTTGTTCAGTCTCGTCGCACCTGTGGACAACGTAGTACGTACGGCGCCGCCGGGAATTGCTATGGGGAAGAAGCTTGAATTCTCTTCTTCTCTTTTTTTAAACCTTGCGCTACGGCAACTCTACTTTTTTGATACAGTGCCAAAATGCTTAGGATTTTTCTACCATGTCAATATGCGTACACCGAGGACTCGTACACATTATGCTTCTCCATGCATTACCCGCTTTGGAGCAAGGTACTTGAAGAAAGCCACGACATGCGTCAGCCACGTCTACCCACAACTAAAAACCCTTCTAGACTAAGTTATGGAACCCGAAACTGCAAAATAGCCTCTCTCACTACGGGTGATTTTCCCTCTTCTGAATCGTAACGGATCCAGTATATCCCATCGGCTTGTGTCCGTATCCATAACGTAGTTGGTTCATTCAAAGTGTTGACGCATGTCCATCTGTCCCGCCTACCAAAGAACAACGGACATGGTCCGCTGCAACCACCACGGTAGAGACCCAAATATGACCGTCGGACTGTCTCTCTCCAGAAGGTAACTTCGTCCTCGAGCTGCAAGCCCGGAGGTGTGGTTGAGCAGACATGTCATTGGGCGAAAAGGCCACGCAAGATGCCCCTGAGAATCTTATTCCAATAACAACGCAAAAGACCGCCGATCAAGCCAACATATCAAGCGTAAATTCTCTTTACAGATAGTCTGTACAGATACTCCATACGGCTCCGAATCCATCTCTCCTAATATGACGCAGGGCCGTCACTTGTCGCAGACATCTTATGTGGCCCGTGTCAAGGCAAAACCTCTAAAAGACCCATGTTACCTAAGCGGATGCCTTTACCAAGTCAAGCCACACTGGGCTTGGTCATCTTGTGGGGTTCAGTGGATTCGCAGTCCCGGGCTGGCATGCTGGGCCCCCCCGAATCATGACGAATTGACCACTGATAATCAGATCGCCCCCTTCAACTCAACCATGCGGCTTGATTTTGAGCCTGTCGCAACGTTTCCATTAACACGCGCTTGTCAGAAATCTCCTTCCGTCCCTTGGATCACTTCTATTCTTAAATTCAACGCCAGGGTGAACATGTCCACATAACCATTTCCTCCCACCCCCTTTTCCGAACACTCTCCTACCTCTTTCTACTGAGCCTCCGCCGAGTCCACGTACATCCCCCCGGAGCTACCTTCCCCCTTGACTCTTAAGCGGCTCCGGAATTCCCTCCCACATCCCGAATAGGCCTTACGCAACCTCAACCACAACAACGCAACATCATCGCCCCAATGCGCAAACCTCTTATGCGCATTCCCTACACGGAACTCTTGGCCCCTCCCACAGTCCGTCCAAGCACCGCAAACACCATCCCCGGTGCTGTCGCGGCCCTCCAGAACTTCTTCACGGCCCCGCCTCCAAAGGGCCTGCCGAGGTCGACCGTCGTACTGACTGGGGCGGGCCTATCCGTCTCCAGCGGTCTCGCCGACTACCGAGGCGTCAATGGCACGTATCGCGTGAACAAGACTTACCGCCCAATCTACTACCACGAGTTCCTCGCAAATCACGAGGCGAGGAAACGGTACTGGGCAAGGAGCTTCTTGGGTTGGACGTCGCTCCACAAGGCGTCGCCAAATCATGGTCACTATGCTATCCGAGATATGGGCCAGATGGGCCTGATTCGGAGCGTCATCACGCAAAACGTTGATTCATTTCACTCAACAGCTCATCCTGACATTCCAACATTAGAGCTGCACGGCTATCTACGATCCACAGTCTGTGTAACTTGCAGGAACGAGTACCCCAGAGATGCCTTCCAGGATGAGCTTGCGAGGCTCAACCCGGCCTGGGCAGCCTTCCTCGTCGAAGCGTTAGCTTCCGGGGCGCTCGACACGGAAAACCCTGCCGAGCGCAAGGCCAAGGGCATCAAGTCCAACCCCGACGGCGACGTGGATCTGCCAGGCGCGCCGTACACCACCTTTAGATATCCGGCCTGCCCGCACTGCCTCGCGAAGCCGCCGTCCACGCCCGAAGGGACTAAGCACATTATCGAGGTCGACCACGATGGTGCGTGGAAATCCACCAGTTCCGGGGGCATCTTGAAGCCCGCCGTGGTCATGTTTGGTGAGAGCATCCCGAGCGACGTCAAGACGGCGGCCGAAGAGGCCATTAACGGGGCTGGAAAGCTGCTCATCTTGGGGACTTCGCTTGCCACGTACTCTGCCTGGCGGCTGGCCAAGATGGCGCTGGACCGTGGCATGCCCATTGCGGTGGTGAACACCGGAGGCGTACGGGGCGAAGATCAGATCTCCGCCGTGGAAGACCCGGAGCCCATGGGTATTAGAGGCGTGCGGACAGAAGTGTCCACCGATGTCGTGCTTCCCGCGCTGGTAGAGCAGCTACACAAGCTGCCAAAGACCGCCTCGGGTCCGATTGGGACCGTAGGAGCGCCCAGAGGAAACCATGACGTGTTCAAAGATATGTTGTCATAGACCACCACGATTTGTACCAATCCAAAGCGTTGCCATTTGCATAACTAGAAAAAGCTCGACATGCCCCGCGCCGGCGGTCTCGCGGCTTCGGGCACTGCAGCTGTCGATTGTGCTTCGGCCTTGCTACTCGCCGTCGCCGCCGTTGCCGCCTCCGCCAGCCGTGCCTTTTCCTGCTTCTTTTGTCGCGAGACGTCTTCTCGCTCAATCTCTTTCAGCACTAAGTAATAATCGTGGTCAGCATTGTCGAAGCGATTTGAGCACTTGTGATTTGTAAAACGCACTCTCCTCCCAGTCCAACTCCTTCTGAGAGTCGCCCGTACCCAACGCCTTCTCGACGTCAACAGTCTCGCCCCTTTGTAGCTTCTCAACCACCTCCCGCAAGACGCCAATGCGAACGTCTGCCTGTCGAGAGAACGCTTCGAACGCCTGCTTCGTCGACAGCATGTTGATGGACATGGAACCGATCAGGAGGAAGATGACAATGTAGAACGTGGCCGGGTTCCATTCCTTCTTTCTCTTCGGCTTGACTCGCTTGATCATGGGATCGTCGGTAAGTTTCTCTTCGGACCTGAAAGGCTTAGGAATGAGGCCCTTCCAGAAATCGAGTTGTGCTACCGTAGGAAGGGAGCTCGAGTGTCGCGACTGGAAGTAGAAGGAGCGATTCGCAGCTTGCGCAAAGGCCACGGCGCGGAGGCCTGAAGAAGGTGCTACGAACAGCTTGGGTGTCGCAACTCGAGACATTTTGGGCGGGAGGAAAGAGTCGACCTCTATAAGAGCGCACACACGTCGTCTTCGCTATGCTGCCGTGTTCGAAATGGATGTCTTCTG